TGCAACATAATTTTGTAGTCTACTCAAAAGGATGTTGTGGTCGATATGCTGCGCTAAGATCCAGTAGCACTAACAGGGAAATACAACCACGATCGGATGATAACAGCAGGTCATTTGTAACTCTGATGAGAGCAGTCTCAGTACTATGATATGAACTAAATCCTGACTGGAAATCCTCAGAGATACCATTTCTCTTCAAGAAGGAACATAGCTGAGAGGATACTGCCTTTTCTAGTATTTTTGAAGGAAAAGGGAGATTTGAGATCGGTCTGTAATTAACTTATTTTCTAGGATCAAGTTGTGGTTTTTTAATGAGAGGCTTAATTTAGGGACATATTCTAAATGATGAATTGATGAATTAATAATATTCAGAAGAGGATTAGGAAGGGAGGGCTGGATGATGTTGAATTGAGATGTTACTTTGCTTTCATTTTGACTTGTGTGCTAATAAAAAAAAAGCTAGGGTATGACATACATTTTGTAAGTTTTGATGATTTGACAAGTTTATACAATTCTTCCTGACCTATAGCAGAGAATGAGTGGAATAGTTCCTCAGGGTATCTATAGTGCACTAACTGATGCGATACTGTGGTTGACGGCTGCATGGTTATAATTTTATCTCTAATAGTACCGATCATGGAAGTAAAGAAGTTAGAGAACCACTAGTTTTGTGTATTTTTGTGAGTGTGGAGTTTGGAAAAGACACAGGCAATTTTGCGACAGGTAGGCTTCAGTTTACAGCACTTCTGATTTATCCAAAACAGTCGCACAACTCTGACAGAGGATGCGTCTCATTTAGCGCCCAAACTGGTGAATCTGTATATCGTGTACACGAATCTGGGCACTGGTAAAGACCCTAGCTCACTACATATTGGGACAGTGAAAGTTTTTTGTTTTTTTTATTGGCATAGTGATTACTCAATTTCCGGCGATATGACTACATACAAGTTGGGCGAATTCCAAATGGAAGGGCACTTCTGGAAGGGGATGCCATTTGTAGGAACGTACCAAACGAAAGTGAACAACTAAATCCCTTTACGAAGGGCCCTTCTAGAAGTCTATTAGTGAAGGGAACATGTGATGGTAGTGTACGCGAGTTTAGTTTGAAAACATTTAATTGTAAATAAAACACAATTAGACAATATTTGAATAAACTAAGAATAAGAAAAAGAAATATTTATTTGCAACAACTGATAAGAGTGCTGAATGCTGCATGCATGTGCAGCGTTGTCAAGGAAACATTTGGTCATTTCCTTCGCCAATGGAGTTCCAAATGCTTATAGGAGACAGTAATGCCCTACACCCTTCAAAGAACACACTCCAAGGACTCTGCCCTTCGAAGGAAGTAGGGCATAGGGATGCTAAAAACAGTTTGGAATTCGCCCGTATGTCATTGTGTAACATCACTGCTGGTATTAATCAACAACTGATAGGACCTACATAATTTTAATATTATTTTTTATGCTGTTTAAATACATTGTTCTGCTATATGTCCTTACAACATTTCAGCCGAATATTAATTATAAATGTTATCTAGATGTGTTCACTACCTGTCTGGCAATGTGTTTATGCTGAAATACACTTAAAAGAAAACTCAGTTTGTCTTTTCAAATCTTCTATCGCATGTCATCGAGTTTATTGAATAAAGAAGAAATGTGACGTAATTTCCAGTAAGGGAGCATAGTGAGTATCGATGCATGGGAAAGAAACATTTGCCTTATTAGAAGTCAGTGTACCATCAGAATGGTTTTGAAACTGATATTTCAAGGTGAAAAAAGTAGCTTTAATTAAAATTGTAAAACACGTATAACATTACACTGACATTTTTTTAATAAAAATTTATTTTTGACATTTTATGTCTTTATTTAGATAGAACAGTAAGTGGACAGGAAGCAAAGTGGGAGAGAGAGGGGGGCGGGATCGGCAAAGGTCTGCAAGCCACACTGACATCATTTTTAAATGCATTTATTATCATTACAACTGAAGTATTAGAGATACACATCAGCTTAGTTAAAAGGGCCTTTGAATAACGTCTTGGACAAAGGGGGGCCTTGAAGTCAAAAGGTTGAGAACCACTAGAACATTGTGCAGTAGGCTAGTATTAAATTCCAAACATGAAAAAAAACAGCCATGTTTCTGGAGTGAATGCTGACAGAGATCAGTGACACTGTGACATCTTATTTATGGGACCCGTCTCAACACATGAGGAGTGCAACTTTCTAAGCAAGTACAAAAATATACTTCTATATAAACGCTACACAGAAAATAATTGTAATGTGACATTGTCATGTATAAAGACCAACATCTTATGTTAAACTGTCTTACAAAATTAAAGTCTGACACAATCAAAGCTGCTCAAATCAAATTTTGTCAACGCACAGTACATTCAGACATGTAGATATTTTATACTGGCTATAATATTTAAAATAACACAGTAGTTTAATTCAAGTTCAGTAAATCCAACGTATCAAATTTGGCACTTTGGCTGCCTCTACTAGCAGATTTTGTCTCAGGTGAACTGATGACATTGAACAAACCCAGAACTACACGGTATGACGCCCTTTTAGTAGATGATGCTGGTGTTTTCTCTATTTTCTGTTGCATTTACAAATATAAAATGATTGCGAAACAGTTTGCAACACATTAAAGCAAGTGCAGATAAGGCATACTGAACCACACATTCACACAACACCGTTTAGGTCATTCGACTGATGTCAGCATCAATGAAATGCGAAAGCAATCAATAGTCGAACGATTAGTCTGTTTGTAAGTGAGTAGCGTTGTGACAATACACCTGGAAGTTCACATCAACATATATCAGCATATTAGAAATAAATAATGTAGAGAATTTCAAACCGAAACATGATGCATTAATAATTGAATAGTTTTCTAATTTAATGCATGTTCTGCTATCCTAAACGAATCACTGTTCAGGTTCCTGAACATGAACAACCAGCAACGGAATGGCACGCCAATGGAATATGTGTACAGTGGTTAGTTTGATGGCAAAAATGAGTATTGACATAAGCTGTGGAAATACGTTTTTTGGAATAATTGAGAAACCTGTCAACATCTTAAGGGAAAATTTTAAAGAATGCAAGCATACCACAGCGCTTACAGACAACAATTCAATGTGTATGCTATATTTGGATAATTATAGGTCTATATACCCTTTTGATGATGATGATGTTATTTGTATTTGGACACCACATTACTATTTGATTATCTGTGTTGAAATGCAATATTGAAATCCTGTCTAAATGCATACAGAAACATCCATTTATATCAATGCCCCCAAAACTTCACTACAGAAATTGCAGATCAATCTTTACATTACAGGCTTCGTGTTAACTGTGTGCTCAGTATAATGAACAACATGTACTTAATGTGTAATTGTTTCGCGGAGCAGCTTGTATGCTGTATTTTGACAGCACTGAACTGAAGTGCAATGGTGTTTTTCTGTGGTTTCTAGTGTTCTGTTGTCAATTTGTGTGGCTTTTCTGTGAATTAATGAGGTATTTCAGTAGTTTGACTGGATATCGTTGGTTTGGAAATCACTTCGTGTCCTGGCTGTTATTATAATATTTAGCTAAAAATATTGTATTATTTAGCCACAATATTTCATAATTATTATTATTAACCAGCATCAGATTGTAGTTATGCTATGGCTATGCTTACTGCGGTTCATTTTACAATACTGTAGGCATCCTGTATATCTGCCATACAAACAACAATCAATTAATTGTACATTCATCCTTCCATTTTCTGTGTTTTCTTTGGTCACAGGGAAGTGCTGGAACATATGCCATATCTCGACTCAGTGGCTAGGAAACACCCTGGACAACTACGATTTATTTGCCCAGTACAGTAAGTCATTGTACAGTATGTCTTAAACCATTATAGATCTTTTTTTAACAGTACAATTGTACAGTGGTTTGAAGCAGCTTGCAGGTTATTTGTTGCCAGTCAGTACGGAGCCCCTAAGGGGACACGGTGATGGAAAAAAATATGTGATGGGAGGAAAAATTATATTTTGATGATTTTGTGTACACAGACAAAACCATTGCGTTCCCCCGAGAAATTTGCCGTTTTCTTGCAAAACGTTTGCATTATCTCGCAAAACTATTGCATTTCCATGAAAAGCTTTCCATTCACTCACAAGAGCACTGAAATGCAATTTTTCCTCCCAAATCATATTATTTCTATCATAGTCATTTCACGAGCAAAAGCAAAGTTTCTTGGGGCAACACAACATTTTTGCGAGTGAATGCAAAATTTCTCGTGTATATGCAAAACGTTTGAGTGCAAATGCAAAATTTATTGGGGGAACACGACAGCTTTGCGACAGAACGCAAAAACATTGAAATACAGTTACTGTATATAGTGCAAATAGCGCAACGTTTCTTGAGGGAATACAAACGTTTTGCAAGTGAATGCAAAGTTTCCGGCATGCTCAGCAGAGAATGTGAAAGTCTTGCAAGAGAATGCAAAAACATTGAAATATAATCTTTCTTCCCACCTCATACTATTTCTATTATTCCTCCCAAATCAAATTATTTCTATCACAAACGTTTCACGAGCAAACGCAAAGTTTCTTGGGGCAACACAAAAGTTTTGAGTGAATGCAAAACTTCTTGTGAGAGTCTTGCGAGAGAATGCAAAAACATTCAAATATAGTTTTTCCTCCCACCTCATATTATTTCTGATACAAAGGTTTTGCGAGCAAACAAAGTTGAGTGAATGCAAAAGCACCAAAATTTCTCTCTTTTTTTACCCATCACCATGTCCTTTATCATAAGGAAGTTAAAGTAGATATTAGGCCTATATAAAATTATTCTGATTACCAATTAATTATAGTAACATGTCATACTGTCTGTGTAACATGGACACAATGATATGAAGTGCTACCAAATTGGCAAAATAAAAATTCCTCACTCCACTGGATTACAATATGTGGATTATATGCAACATGTGAGGCCACCGCCAACATTGTGCTTTAAACTGAAGATGCTACACATCGCTCGGTGTCCTGGGTCGCATGGTGAATCTGTAAGGCATGCACCAGCAACAAGCAATCCTCAAAGATCGGAGAATTTCAGGGTTCCTGAACGCATATATCATGGGGTTTATGATGGAGTGGCAGATGGCCGGAAGAGCTGTAGCGTAGGTGTAGATCACAGGGGTTCTGGTGTCTGCCACCAGCGAGTACATGGCGAGGGGGATCCAACAGAACGCGAAAGTGCCCAGGATGGTGGTGAGGGTGGAGACCCCTTTCGTGGTGGAAGACGAATGCGAGGTAGTCATAAACTGACGCTGAACGGCGATTTGCTGAGCGTGCCGGAAAGCGATCTTGCAGATCTGAAGGTACAGCTGAAGAATGAGAGCGAAGATCAGGAGGAAGGACACGGCGAGCGCCGCGGCGTTGTTTTTGTTCACCGGTGGACAGATGCTACAGGTGCTCTCGTCCTCCAAGCAGTTCCAGCCCAGGACGGGGAGCGAGCCGAGCGCGGTGCTGATGACCCACATCAGGATGAGTGTGATGTAGGTGAACGTCACCGTGCGCTCGGTGTGGTACGTCAACGCGGTGTACAGCGACAGGTAACGGTCCACGGTGATTGCCAGGATGCTGAGCACAGAGGCCGAGAAGGCTGTAATGAGGAGCCCCGCCGACAGTAGCGTGACAAATCCTGAATCGATTATGTAAGTTACCATGAAATTGAGGATCAGGCCCAGGCCGGCCAGGAGGTCAGCAAACGCTAGACTCCCGATGAGGACGAACATAGGTGCTCTCAAGGAGGGCGTGTAGGCGATCAGAGCGATCACCACTGCGTTCTCGCAGGACATGAGCGTGCCCGTCACGCACAGCAGAACGTCCCACGGGTTGACGATTATGGGCACCGGCTCCAGCTCCCAGGACGGGGCAGACGACGTGTTTCTTCCCTCTAATACATCCCAATTCAAAAGAGAAGTGTTTTGGAGCAGGTTACTCATCGCTAAAGCAGGAGGGTGAATCACTGAAAATGGAGAGTCAGACAAGAGTGCATGCGATAAATAAATAGATAGACTAGAACGATTGATCGATTCCTTGTCAATTGAATCATTCAGTGGAGTTTTAGTTTCTTACCACTGCTGTCACATTTGATTCCATCAGGTGGGGTTTAAAAGACACTTAATATTCAGTCATTTTATCAGTTTAACTGCACTGTCATATCAGACGTGAACAAAAATTGATCTGAATTTAGATTAATAACACTAACTTTGCAACTGTTATTGAACTGAGTCAAATCAACATTTTGCTGAATAATGAGACTAAAGCTGAATATTAACACTATTGTTCGCTGTAAAGCTGTTTTATAGCTGAAATCGAATTAGTTTCATAATCGATTAATTTGACAACATTAACAGTTATTTATCTGTTTACTAATGTGAAACCATTTATATTGTATAAAGTGCTATGTGACTTCAAATTGACCAAAAATATACTTCGCAACAAAAGCAAACATGCTTCTGAACATCCGTCACAGATCTGTTAACATGTTTCAAAGCATATTCAAAAGCTATTTTTAGACAAGTTCCATTTTTAGCCCTCTGCTGCATGGAGAAAATGAGGAGCTGTACTTCATTCAGACATTTCCACCACTTCTGAGGTGATAATCAAGCCTCTTAATTAAATATTTTTTCATTTCATTGTTGTAAATCATTGTGAAACAAAGACCGGTACCAACCACAGAACGAGCTCGTTTCTCCATCCCTCTTCCATCAGGTGAAGATGAAGAACAGATGAGGCTCAGGAAAGCATCCCATGTCAAGCGCATCTTTTTAAGATGAAAAAGAAGACATGGGTGAAAAAGAATATATCTTCTTGCGTCTGTTGTTGTTGTTTTTGTTTATTTGCCCTTTTTTTCTCCGTTCATTGGCATCAAGGTTTCCTACCTGGGCAGCGTTCAGCCTTGGCTTGTCATTCCGCTCAGTTCACAGACAGCGGCGCCTGCTTGTTCGCATCTGATTGGTGGCTGAGCACAGCTGACGTCAAGACATTCAGACTCAGAGCATGTGGTGTTGAAGAACAGCACAGCCCTTGCTTCACAGCCACAACAGCACCCATCTTATGATTCAAATGTGAAAGAAAGTAAAATTGAAATGGAAATAAATTGAACTGCTGTTGCTTTAAATAGGCTGCATTTCATTCTTCAGTATGTATTACTCAGAAACATGCACATCAGTGTATCAACCAGGAATAATCAATCTGCATCTGTATTTCAGTGGTTTAACTGTAATTGCTACAGGAATAAAGAGTTATTATATCTATTGGTTTTACACTGAGGAAGTTCTCCACCAAAACTCAGTGACTAAGGTCTAAAGGACTAACTAGTTTTCCTAGTCACTCTTGACACATGCATTTGCGTCATATTAGTCAAATCAATTCCCAACTTATTCCGAAAAGTTAACACAAATTCAGCAAAACAAACATTTATAAAACCCTTTTTAGACAGCAGACATCCATACTGCAACTACAAAGTGTCCCCAAGTGAAACATGCATTGAAGATTTTTTTCTCAAATATATATGGCCAAAATATATGTATGTGAATAAATTTTCTACCCATTTAACTTTTGGCCTTTTCATTTATTTATTTATTTGGTTTGTTGTTGTTTTTGTTGTTGTTGTTGTTGTCTGTAATCCATAATACGTGTGAACATATAACACATTTGAATAAAAAAATCAGCCAGGAACATACTTCACAATGTAAAAAAAATATATAGTGTATATTATTTTTATTATTATATCATTATGAATCAAGATTTTATCTCTTGGCTATTCCATCCACATTTGCGTGTAGCCTAAATGTAGGCTTCTATAAGACTGGAAATGTATTTTCTTGCCCCTGAAATACATTTTGAAATATATTTTGGTATGTGAAGGTTGAAACTAAATATTTAAAAAAATTTTAATATATGTCAAAGAGCTTCACTGTCTATGAACACACATTTACCATATATTTAAAATCTCCTTTTTTCCCCCAGAAAAAGGTGAAATCAATGGACATCTGTTTTGTTTTGAGAACATTAATAGACTGATCACACCACTGTAAAAACATTAGCTAGTGGAGCTACTACAGAATCTTTCCATAGACATAGAACATTAGCATTTTTTATAAATAAATGGACAACAATCTAAAAGCTGCTCCGCGTAAGGCAGGCCAATAAGTATTATTTATTAATCCTGAAATTATATTTAAAATAATAGATGTTTGCTCAAAAGCTTTCTTTCATGTGCTGGTGGTGCTGGCCATGGTGCTGATTGTAGTTGATGGAGTTGACGCCAGATGGAAGCAAACTCACATTCAACAATAACAAGGGCCCTCTGATGATGCAAATATGATCCTAGTGGTTTCTTTTTATTTGTCAGCGACATTTAGACTGAATTCATCTACTGTAGTATATTATACATCGTCATGATCAATCAATTACAACAGGAAAGCGTTCCTGTAGCCCAAACAGTAGATAATGGCACAATCAACAGACTTTTTGAAGAAGATATGACTTTGACTTCCAGGGAAGGCATGAACATGTACACCTTCAAGGCAAAGTAGCTTCACACTTTAAACATTAGAAACTGAAACCCTTCTACAAAGGGTTAAAAGCCTTTATTATCCTTTTGGCTGGTCACATTATAGGACATTAAAATTGTTTAAAAATGTTTTTAAAAATGAATAAATAAAAACAACATCAACTGCACACTGATGCAATTTTGCCCTCGTTTCACGTTATCTACATCGTCAGTTTTGTCATGATATATCATCTCAAGCATTCATTTGGAGTATCAAATGAATATTTTTAGTATTCCTTTTATAGATATTAATAGATTTCACATTTCCCATAGAGGAAATTGGGAGCAGAATTAATCCAGCTGAGAATATCCTACAATTCAAGGCGATCACACGCCAGTCTCCCGACCCAAGTAAAAAATAATGTTTGTCTTTTAGTCACTGAGTTTATTATATCTGATATTGCCATAGATTTCCCACTGGCTGCTGAATCACTCTCTCGCGTCTTAAAGAAAAACTTAAGTAATCTTACTGTCACTGATATTTCAGCCTGAATCCTCACCATTTCTGGCATTGTTTTAAAGGAGCAGTTCACTCAAAAATGAACATTTGCTGAAAATGCCCTCACCCTCAGACCATCCAGTGAATGGGTGCCGTCAGAATGAGAGTCCAAACAGCTGATAAAAACATCACAAGTGATCAACACCACCAAGCCAAAAGCTGTGTGTGTGTTTGTAAGAAACAAATCCATCATAAAGATGTTTTAACTTCAAGCTGTTACTTCCAGTCCAACATATCTATAATCCATAACATTGCTTTCTCCATTGGAAAAGTCATCTTGTCTGAATCAGGAGAGAAATATGCATAGAACAAACACCATTTACAAGTGAAAACAGACCAAAAACAAATATGTGGGTGGATTTTGATGTGAGAGGACAACCGTTTCAATTTTAAAATTGTGGATTTATTTCTTACAAACACGCAGCTTTTGGGTTCTCAAGACGTTAACTGATGGACTGGAGTGGTGTGGATTACTTGTGGATTATGTAATCAGCTGTTTGGACTCTCATTCTGACGGCACCCCTTCACTGCAGAGCATCCATTGCTGAGACACTGATGCAATGCTTCATTTCTCCAAAATCTGTTCCCATGAAGAAACAAAACTAAATTTTTTGATGGCCTAAGGGTCAGTACATTTTCAGCAAATGTTCATTTTTTTGTGAAAATATTCCTTTCAGTTTGTTACATTAAATAATGAAAGTCTGAAAGCAGGCATCTCTATGGCTCATCCGTGACTGGCTATCTGTTCCAGATTTATCACAAAACTAATAGATACCAAATGTGTCCCAGTTACTGACTCACATCTACAGCAGGAATTTTAATGCATATGTGAGTACACTGAATATTAAAATAAATTGTATTAAAACAGACATGTTTTGCCCACTTGTCTGAACAATAAGTGTTTATAAGCAAACAACTATAACTATAAAAACTTGCAATCAAAACCATCTTCAAGAGTTTCCTAGCCCAGAACGTCATAGACACTTGGAGGCTGACATTTAACTTTGACTAGTAAGCAAACACTTCTAACACCCTAACAACCACATTAATAACACTTTGGTGTCATGGCAAAAAATAAATAAATAAAAAACAAAAACACTGTAAAGACGTAGAAAAGTAATTCAGTTTAGGGCACAGGTCCCTTGATGATGATTATATATTTTCTAACAGTCTACTTCAGAAATATCATATTTTATACATTAAGGGACAGCATAGTATAATCTCACACAAATTGTTTGTGCACGCTATGTTTCAGTTTGCTTGAAGTTGCCTTGAAGTCCCTTAAATTATTTTTGCAGTGTCCTTTTTTGAAGTGAATTGTTCTGGAGACCAAAATAATAATATTATCTTTATTAAATGTATTTTTGAATTATAAATGTGTCAGAAAAATATATTTTTTTTTAGATGAGATTAGATTTCAATTAAGAAAAATTTACAAAAATGTACATGCGGAGTTCTGTCAACTATGTTATTGACCAAACAAATAAAAAATAGTTTCTCACAACACCATGCAACCATGCACTATTTTATCTACAATAACCCATTGTCATGATCTTACATACTCATGGATCGCAATATTTTTATGATTTTAATTTAAATATGTATTGAAATTTGAGGTTAAACTAATCAAGAAAATTCTCTCCACTGAAATTGCAAAAAGTCAAAATTAAGAAATTGTCAACTATGTTACCCGTCAAACAAGTTACTGTGTAGAGATAACATAGCTGTATTAGTTGTAGTTCTTTTATATCCATACAGATAGTATTGCATACAGCAATGTAGCATAACATCTCTTAAAACGATCTTTAAAATATATTTATATGATTAAACAATTTCCTGTGCTGAGAATATTACATGGATATCTGCAAAAAAATATATATATAGATTTTACAACAATCACTGAATATGGAACAACCGATAAAATAACGCTTAAATACTTGAGTTGATTCTGTAGTGGCGTAACAAAACTTTTTTTTTTTAATTGCATGGCTATGGAAATGTCCAAATTTAGTTCTGAATGTAATTTTAAATGCTTTCTTCGAAATGTCTGTTGCATTTTGAACTTTTTATCTAACTGAAATTTTGTAATTAGCACAGATCATCTGAAAATCATTCAGGTTGTATTCCTTTAGTGTAAGCTAAAAAAATCTCATTCTGAATAACGGAGCTGCATGTTTTTGGGTGTAGTCCTTATATTGTGTGGTTTCGGATCCTCCCCAGGTGCCTTCTTGACTTTGGTCATTAGTTTAACTCAATCGTCGCGCAATCTAGAAACCAAGCTTTGAGTTTCCTTTCACTGTTCGCTTGAGCAAATGTGCTTCCTCTATTTGAAGGGAGTGTCTCTTGTTTTGTTTGTGGCTTTGGGAACTGAAATTTTGTAATTAGCACAGATCATCTGAAAATCATTCAGGTTGTATTCCTTTAGTGTAAGCTAAAAAATCTCATTCTGAATAACGGAGCTGCATGTTTTTGGGTGTAGTCCTTATATTGTGTGGTTTCGGATCCTCCCCAGGTGCCTTCTTGACTTTGGTCATTAGTTTAACTCAATCTTCGCGCAATCTAGAAACCAAGCTTTGAGTTTCCTTTCACTGTCCGCTTGAGCAAATGTGCTTCCTCTATTTGAAGGGAGTGTCTCTTGTTTTGTTTGTGGCTTTGGTGACAATTTTTAGAAAAATGATGTCAACTATGGGACAGCACCCATGAGTGAGGACATGCACTGAAACTGAACTGCTGGAGGGGAAAAAAACATTTCCTTTCACTTTTGGTGTGAAAGGGCTTTTACATATATGCCACAAATAGAACTTTTTTATATTAAAAACAAACAAGCCCAGCCCAGATGAGAAAAAGTAA